TTGGGGATTTGGCGCGACAATCAAAAGAAGTACACAGCGATAGAATAAGAGGGGCTTGTACTTCAAATACTGACTGCATGGCAATGGGGGCTGATGACGAACAGATGAGCCATTTTACCACAGCAGGTACAAAAGGGACAAAAAGTGGGCTGGCTATTTTCCAACGTCGAAGCCACTGCACCAGTAGCTTGTGGGGAAAGATGTTTGTTGGCTGCGGTGAACAGAACACACACACACATTAGTGGGGGGAGGGAAAAAAACAACAAGTAAACATTATTCCGATTTTTAAGTGTTTTCAGGTGCCCAAAAATATCCTCTTTTTTGCCCCCGGGAGCTGGAGGCTAAATGATATGTTTGCTCTGCACTCACTGCATCATTATGTTGCAATTCTTCACAGTGGTGGGGCTGAATTGCCCTCTTACACTCATAGGGGATTTCTGTGTGTTTTTTTCTGTGTGTGTGTGTCCCCCGTGTCCTCGCGATGTCACACCTCTGCTCTCTCATTAAACCTCTCTCTGCTCTCCTCTGTCCCGTGGGAAAACGATGGCAGCCTATTGTTCTAGATGTGGCTGGGCTTTTAAAGTGGAAACAATTTGTGTTTTATACAGACCGGGGCGGTGCGACTCGGTTTCCCTGACTGGGCAGGCAGCTGTGTGCTCTGAATCTGATGAGCCGATTGTGTGTATGTGTGTGTGTGTGTCCCTCAGAGTCTTTGCTTGCTGATGATTTAAAAACGATCAGGTCGAGAGGGCTCATTATTCTGTTGGGGCGTTGCATATAAACAGTGTTTGTCTGTTAACACTTCTCCACAGGGACGACGCCAGTATGAACACCATCTCAGTCCTGTGCTGTCCTCTCCGCTTTCACCTCGCACCCAGCATCTGCTTAGTGGTCGGAAGCCAATATCCCATCTTACTGGTCCACCTTTCCATTGAGCTACGGAGTTACGTACCGATGGGCAAACACAGACACGTGCTATGAAGGTATATTTGTGTCTTTATTACCCAAACAAAAACAAATCTTTTGAGAGATTTATTTATTTGAGAGATTTATTGCAAAAATCAAGTTTGTAATAAAAAATATATAAACTGAGAATTTGCTTATGAAACTAGAAAATTTGCCTGCAAATATGAAAATAAAACAACCTTTGTCCTCGAAACATAAACCTTTTTGTTTGGGTATTAAAAACACAAATATTCCTTATGTGCACCAGTGGAAGGAGAGCGTGAAAAGCGTCCACATCCCCCATTGTCCATCCGTCCATCCATCTACACCCTCCCAAAGCTGATAACCTATACTGACATTTAATCAAAAACAATGTAGATGGACACACACCTCAGTGGCTTTAGCGCAAGACTGAATATAAATAATATGCCCAAGAACACATAAATCCCAATGCTGTTCTTTAACAAAGTGAGTCCTGGTTTTTAAGGCAGATTTCCCTCTTCTCTCTATCTTCAGCGGAAGTACAATATCATACATGCTCACTCTCACTTCTTCCAACCCCAGACGCCGTGTCTCTAGCTCATAGCCACCGCGCTCTTTCTCCTCCCAACAGGGCACTGCTGGAGAAGCTCAACTCCAGATCTGGGTGGAACAAGCACCTCCCTCTCCTCTCATCTCCACACTGATTCCTAAAGCCCAACCTGAACGCAGAGTCTTGCAAACACTGCAGTCTTGGAACAACATCCCCCGAACCCCCATACCCTCCCTCTGTCTTCGCTTTCTCCTTTCCTCTGGTAAAACTGTGGAAAGACCAAATTGAAGCCAATCTAACCACATCTCTGGAGTCCTCATCAATCACTGCTGGGGAGTGGCTCATTGTCACTGAGCGCCAGGCATTGTCTTTTGCCGCTGCACCTTAGCCTGCAGTATTTTTTTTCCATTCACCTAGACGACTCCAGAGATCATCAAGTGCCACCGAACTCTCAAGGATTCAATAACTGTCTGGCAGTCATTGGGACCTAATTCTGGAAAGGCCCTGAAGATCTCATCAAAAACACTGTTTTCATTTAAAGTATTACCAAGAAAATAGTGTTGAGCAATGAGTGATTAAGAAATATGTCGATGAAAAACTGAAGGAACAAGACTTTGTTGTATGACCAAGAATCTCTGACTTGAATGTTGGCTGATGCAGAGTGCACAGACTAAATTAATAAGTTCATAGTCATTTTGGCCCTTTGAACAGCTTCTATGACCCAGGACTTTTCAGCTAACGCCACCATGAGCTACCGTTCTTGTCAACAATAGCATTTACCTCACAGAGACACTAACATAACAGTAGAGTTGGACAGATATCTACAGTAACTGTATCTTGCAGGTGGCGCCTGCCTTGCTTTGAGGTGTCCATGCTCTTCCACATCAGTAGAAGAATTGGCAAGCATTTTTCACTCAGCAGTAACCAGAGACCATTAAGCAGAAACCCTGCGAAAATGGTGTCAACATAGTGTAAAACCTTGGACCGTGATCCCCCAGTCTCCGTCCGCAGACACGGTGGGAGTTATTTGATTCATAATGATCTATATGATATCGGTGGGGGCGAAATTTGGCAAGGAGCGAGAAAGAAAACACTGAGCTAGATTCCTGTCATTTAATATCCCATTAAAGGGTGATTTGGCATGAAGCCCCTGGCATGTGTGATGGAATTCTACTGCTCCTTGTGTTCAATGAAATTCCCCACAGGTTTGGGACTGTAGGTGTGGGTGCATGTGTGGTGTTTGTACTGGATGTGTATGCGTGCCGGATAATGGTACATGACTGTGAGTGTGTGTGTGTGAGAGAGAGAGAGAGAGAGAGAGAGAGAGAGAGAGAGAGAGAGAGAGAGAGAGAGAGAGAGAGAGAGAGAGAGAGAGAGAGAGAGAGAGAGAGAGAGAGAGAGAGTTCTTTTAAGCCAGCAGAAGTGTAGTTTTCCACACTCTCCATCTCCTGCCACGTCTGACTGCCCTCTGTAGTCACAGATAACATTGTGGGCTCAGGCTTTAGGCCACAACAGCCAACTGGCCCATTAATGAACTTTTAGCCAATGGGATGATGGTTGCAAGGCACACCACTTTTGCTTTGGCCAATCCCAACGTTTTAGAGGGCCGGGATTCGTCAAAAGAATGTGCCAAGAGTATGTGCTCCTTTGAAATGATTTTCCTCCCTGCTGACTGAAATTCTGAGGTATTTTGTCAACGTCAAATGTGAGGAGAACATTCACGTTGCTTGAATCTGATCCATACTTTTTTTTTTCTCACTTTCAGATCACAGATATATATTTTTATTTTGTTTTCATGAACACTTTCAGACCATATGGAAAAGAAGAATGCGTTCACTACAAAAATATAGCCATAGGAGAAAAAAAAATAGATTAAGAGGAAATGATGCAAACCCAAGCTTAAAACGATTCCTCTCTGCCTCCCTCTTCCATTTGCGCAGTCTGTGTCGGCGAGATCAGATGTGGAATTAAAATTTGATTTTGTCATTTCTTTGTTGCATTGAACCGGCCGATCGGATCGGTGGTCCCCAGCAGGTGTTTCGATCCCATGAGTCATGAACACCGCTTTGGAAAGCTTTCCATGTGGACTCAAAAGCCTCTCTTGCATGTAACAGAGTAACACTACAGTAAAAGTGCCAGAGTCCGAGAAATCCATGAGGTCAGCGCCAAAAAATGATATTACCATAGAGATAAAATAGTTACTCTGAATTGAAAACAGCAGGCCAGCCAGGTGAATTAATCCCTTTTTGGAGATTTCTCTTATTAAAATCTGGTAGAGAGGGAGTTACAAGTCTCACTTGGTTTATCCTTCTCTTTCTTCCTTTCTCCATCTGTGAGTCCCAGCAGGTGCTTGGATGTGAAAAAGCCTGATGTTGGTTTAGGTCAGAGGGTTTCAAGTTCTTCAATCAGGAGGATTGTAACCGTCACAGCCATTAATGCATTTTTGATCTCACACACACAGCATTGACACACAAGCACACACACACACACACACACACACACACACACACACACACACACACACACACACACACACACACAGACTCTCCTTCTTGCTCAGATAATATAAAACACATTTGTCTTAAAGAGGAGTGTTGAATGGAACACAATAAAATCTGCTCTTAGGGGCCAGTGCCCCGTCACATTACAACTTCAAAACCAGAACCCCCCAGTTTAGACGAGCTGCGAGATGAAAGTTTACTGATTCAGGATTTAGTCGGTTCCACAGCACCTAACATCTTTTCAAATTGTGCCATTTCTTTTCTTTTTACCTTTAAAAAAAGAAAAGAAATGGCACAATTTGCTGGTTATAATTGATTTTAAAAGTCCATCTTAAAATGAACTGTAGAATAACAAAGAATAAAATAATCCAAATGGATTTTTTCAACAGTGTTGAAAACCAGAAACGGAATACCTTTTTACAGATCACACACGTGGAGCCTGCCGATACACAAATACATCGCTTGTTTGCCTTGCCCACACGCTCGCTCAGCGGGACCTTATTGCAGGATCAAAGGCATGCCAAACAGTAGTCTGAAAGTGAGCGTGTTCCACATGGCCTTGTTGTGTCTGGCCCGCTTTGAGCCTGGTCAGAGGAGCTGTCTAGGGGGAATTCTTTCTCTGCTCGGCTGGATTGGGTGAGAGACAGCCAGTGCTCTTGTGTAAGACTGTTGAGAGTGTAGTAAGAGGACATGAGCTCCTCCGCTGTGGATATGTCGTGTGTTCCTGTTTTAGTGTTTTAAATGCAATGAAAACATTTTTCTTTTCAAAGGCTAGGGACCCGCTTTACTGCATCTCCATTTCAGGAATCCAAAGAATCCCATGCAGCAACACCAAACACCAACACACCAGTGTAAAATATAGAAAGGCGGACTGTTGCAAATAATAGACCAGCTGCAAGAATTAAAACAAAATGTGCAGATGGGAGGGGGACGAAAAAAGAACACAAGTGAGGGATGTTGTATGAGTGTGTGTACGAGTTAGACTCTCGAAGGGAAAGAATGTGAGAAATGTGGCTCCTTACCAGCCCGATAAACAAAGTTTGCCTCAGCCTCGGAGGAGGACGGCGAGAGCAGTTCATCGTCATACTCATTGGAGCTGAAGGAGCCGGAGTGGTTCCTCTTGCGGGCGTCCATGACGGCGTTAGCCACCATGACGTGGCGCAGCGAGTCGTTCAGGTAACGGTGCAGCAGGCTGCTCTTGTACTTGGGCGGAGACACATAGTCCTCAGCCAGCGAGGCGGCCGAGCGCAGCCCCGCTCCCATGCCCATGCTCATACCCATGGCCATGCCCACCATGGAGGAGCCCTCCTTCTTGATCACGCTCTGGTACATGGGCTTGTGGAGCTCCTCGGGGCCGTTCTGTGACCTCTGAGGGTTGTCCCCATCTATACCATCATGGGGGAAAATTAGAGAAAGAAAATATAAGTTGCATTGCAGGAATACATTTTATGAAGCAAATTGCATCTTTCCGGGTATTTGTCTTGCGTAAGTGTTGAATGATTTAAAATGTTCATTATTGCACAGTGATTACAGTCATTTTTAGTTTGTTAGTTATTACATGTATTCATGACCATTGAGCCTCCTTGTATTCATAACCAGCACCTGTAAATACTCTACTAAATATATTTTCAAATCTTTTAATAGACATGTCAATACAGGTTAATCATTTTTCAAAATACTATAAAATCTAAAAAAATTCAACTTATTTTAAATCAGTTGCTGATAGCAATCAATTCAATTCAATTCATTTTATTTTGTATACAGTAGCCCGAAATCGCAAATTACAAATTTGCCTGAGAGGGCTTTACAGTCTGTACACATACGACATCCTCTGTTCCGAAACCCAATCACACACATATACTTCAACGCTTCTCCAGTTTAGATCAAACTACCTTCTTCATATTGCTCTCCACAGACTCACTCTGGTTATTTTTTAGCTAATCTTGAATCTAAAGACCAGGGCAGGGAGATTTCCACCTGGCGCTCCTGCCCTCCTGCTGGCATCGCCTCAAGAGCAGAAAGCCCAGCGGAGACTTAAGATGCATTACCAAACCATAACGTAGCCTACTTCCTCTCCATCAAGACCACATTGCCCCTCTATCCCCCTGCAGAAATAAATAATTCCCAGGGTGCTCAGCCGCCAAAGAGATTGAATAAAGAAAAGGTCTCTACCTGATGAAAGAAAATCGGGTGGGGGGGGCCGAGAAAACACTGAACTGAAAAAACAGATATCCTTTGGCAAGGGGGGGGGAAATCAGGGAGAAGTTCACTCGGGTATCAGCCCCTGCCAAGACTATAATTTTGTAATTTGGGCAGGGTAGACTTTTGATTCAGTCTGGGACCAATTAAAAAGATAGCTGCCATATATCAGAAACACATGGAGGTAGCATACTCACTCTCATTCCCCGGTGCAGTCTAAGTTACAATTCAGCGACTGCTTTAGCACCCCTGTGACAAACCACCCGAGCAATAATAAATCCAATTGTTATAATCACATAATACTGTCCTTTTAGCTCTGGGTCCGCCACCTTATGAAATAAAACTTCCTGACAAGATGGCTTTGTAGGTTTCCGCTACAGGTCAAATGCAAAAAATGTTGCTCACTTTGGCCTGCTACTGTAACTCCAAAACAAGGTGGGCCATTTCATGACAGTTGAAGGAATGTATGCCGAGTCAGTGGGGTCAGGTCCGGGCCCCATAAACAGTCTTGTGGAACAACAAGCATTGGCTTAAATACATAATGGGCCGCTTCATAACCATAATGTGAAAGGGAGAAGAGTTTGGGAGATATACACAGCCTCTGGTGGTACAGTGGCCTGTGGTGGACACAATGCAAACACCATTCACTCATTCCTTTTAACCGCATGCTCAGCCAAAAAATGTAATTAGAGATTGCTGACACCACAGCACTCTTCCTTTCTGTTCATTCTCTATAGGTACGTTTTAATTCTTTCGTTTTTTTGTTTTGTTCCCAGGCCATGTTTGCAGTGCTGTTAGTGAGTAGAAAAAGCCAGTGGCTGTAAATACACAGCTAGCAGAGAGCTACTCATTTTCAATTGTAGGCTGGGAGACAGCGGGGTGTCCTAATGACAGCGTGTCGCGGCCCGTCGGCCTCGGCGTCTCCCGGCTAAATCACACACTCGCCATTTTCATACACCACCAATGTAGGATGTGCACAGAGGGAGACACCCCGGCCTGGCTGCATTTCACGTTTACATAATTCTGTATGTAAATTCCGGGGGCACAAGAAGTATGATGTAAGGAGATTATCCCTGTACAAAGAGCATCAGGTTCACGCCTGACCGACTTATAACCGGCGTCTGAAGGGATCATCAATCAGATTGAGGGATGGAGCAATAAATTAAATGGTTTTCCACCCCGCCTATAAAACAAGCGCATATGTTAAATCCTTCCGATAGAACAAATGAAATGGTTCAGATGAAGAATTAGTTCCAAGTCCGTACTACAAGCAACACTGAAAAAGAGCTTATCCGGCTGCTGTTCTAAATAAATAAGGAAATTAATGAGGTCCTTAGTATTACATCGGGCAAAACAACTCGTTCGTAAGGAAACCCATTTAAGGGGAATGAGAGGCTGTTTGCATGTGTTATCCCACAGGACCAAGAGATCATTTTATTTATCACCCTCTTTGACTCCTGTATGACTCCAAAACAAGTGCTCTTAGTCAGATGACCACCAGCCGCTGTAACTCAGCGAACCTCTTGAGTAGTCAACCTGTGATATGGGCGGTTTGTGCTATGTCAGGGTGGAATGGAACTTGGAGGTGCAGTCAAGCCGTACCGTCTGAGCAGCTGTCCTCGCTGCTGACGCTCAGCCTCTCTGCGTTGCCCTGGACATACTTGTTGTAGAGCTTGATCCTGAGCGCCCAGCTCAGGTCCGGCTGCCTCACCGTGTTCTTCAATCGCCTCCTGGCATTGGCAAACCAGTTGGACACCTAAGAGAAAGGGGGGAAAAAAGAAGCAAATCGAAACATGTGTTATTGTTTGGACTGCACACACTTCCAAGTCCAAAGTAAACGTCTGCTCTCTGCCTGCCATCAGTCTCCCTCTGGGAAACCGGTGAGAGGCCGAGGCAAAAGACAGAAGCAGAGTCAGGTTGCAGAGCGGCTCCTTGGAACAGCTTTAAGAAACATCCCAGATGCTCCAGAGAGACACACCAGCATGTATCTTTTCTGTATCAACGCCATGTAGACACATTTAACACCCAGCAAGCTCTGGGGGGCCAGCGAAACAACAACATTTCATTCACTAATGTTCCGACCGACATGTACCTCTCCCAGTGCTTATTCTGGATGAGCACAGACTTCCTCCAATAATACATTTTTTCCACCACTGTCTTCAAGATGCAATAAAAGAGACACTTGAGCCGTCGCTCTTCTTTTCACTGGGAAAAGAGACCATTAGATGTTATACTAGAATAACTTTTCATGCTCAATAGACTTCGAGCAGCTTATGAAGGGGCTGGGACCGGGGCCTTATGCTAGAATACTTATATTTCTGATCCCCTCTTGCAGTATCGTGTTTCTCGTTAACTAAGACCGTCCCACATCCCTTTTGTCTCGGGCCCAGCGCTGTGGCACTCCAGAGGAAAGGCGGCATATAGTACATGGGACTCACCCGGAGGGAGAGAGAGAGAGGTGAGGAATTGCCCCGCTAATGAGGAACCGGAGGAAGGATGGCTTTCAATGTGGTGAGAGGAGAGGGAAAGGATGGCACGCCTGCTCAGATGACACCCAGGGAGATACAAATAAAGGAGGGAGGACGTGGCCGCCAAACCAGCCCTTTCACCCGTGGCAGGTCTGTACTGTGTGTACCGTAGAGGGAGACGGCATGCAGGCACGCCAATGGATTTCAACGGTGATGGAGGGATGGCACCAGCGCATGAACAATTTACAACATTGAGATGGGGGGAAAATGGGCTGTTTTGCTCAAACATGACAGATTTAGTTGCTTCAAACACCTGGTGCCAGGTGGGTGTTTCCAGGAAAAATTGTGCAGGAAGCGACTTGTTGTACCTTACTGCCGGTTTGTTTGGGCGACACAGTGGACAAAATGGGTTGTTTTTAAGCTTCGTAGGCAAAGAGAATAATGCCACATTGGACTGCAACTAACTATTATTTTCCTATTCAATCACTTGTAATCATTTCAGAGACTATCACTATGACAACTTTTCAAAAAGTCGCTATTCATCAAGTCGTTGCACTACAAAAAGGCAAACTTCATAAAATAAAAAGAAGCCCTAAACAAAACCTAAAAAGCAAAAGAATCTGACAAACGTGCCCACAGAAGAAGAGTGACCTCCCTCATGCTGGAAAATGTGGTGAGAATTATTTACCAGCCTGTCATTACCCTCATTCACTGACCTTTGACACTGCTGCTGGTATTTGAGCGTCAGTTTGAATGTGTGTGTGTGGGGTTGTGTGAAAGTGTGTGTGTTCGCAGCACAGCATCCCGGTGTCCGATACAAAGCATTCCTCTGCACTCTGCTCGCTCTCACCAAAACAAACACCTCCACCAGGCTCCCAAAATGAGTACCAGATTAAGCATCATGGCCCGCGGCCCGAAAAAGCCGCCGCAGACTCATATCAGTGACCTTGTCAGCCAGATGATACTGTACACACACAGCTGGGAGCACCAGATACAAAACACACACACATCCATCACCGGGGTTTCTTCTTAGTGGTCATTTTCGTTAGTCGCTGAAGCCACGTTGTTCACTGTACTCTCGTATTATCAATCGAGGTTGCAGGGGCATATAAGTAAGATTTATTTATAACAACACCCACGCTAGCAGTGTAGTGTAACGGGAGGCCTAGGGATAAATATGAGGATTTAGGAGACAGACAAAACTAAGTTTATTTTTCAGTATTTTCTCATGAAATTCTGAATGGCTTTAATGTCTCTACATTTGACAATACAATGAAATAAAACACGTTTTGGCCAAAGTAGAGGGCCCATAAGTCAAAGAGGTTGAGAACACCTGGCTCGGTATGCAATGCCAATTTGATTTAGAGTAACTTTGTCACATTTGAGAAATATAAAAAAAGAACGCACAGAATTCCCAATTTGAGAGTAAGTAGAAATAATATTAACCACTGCTCAAGAGCTGAAACATAAACAGCTCAAGATGTAAAAACCCTTTTTACTCATGTTCCTATTTGCGCATCTAAGAAAAAAATCCACTTCTTACGCAACCACAGACATTATATTATACTTTTCCCCTCGCTGATCATGCCTGCATGAACACTGAAAAATACCTCCTTTTTTTCTCTTTCCTCGTCACCTGAAATGACTGAAGCAGACTAACCTGGACCAGGGTCATTTGCGAGCCGAGGGCCAGCAGGATTTTCTCCGTCTTGGTAGGGTAGGGGTTGTCTCGGTGCTTGTAGAGCCACTGCTTGAGCGGCCGCGCCATGTCCTGCAGGGCCTGGCGCTTGTGTCGTACTTTACCGCCGCTGGGACGACCGCTGTGGAGGAATCGGGAATAATGTCAGACAAGTCCCAGGCTATTATATAGGTAATATACATTAAACATACATAGTCCATCTGGATATATACTGTATCATGGGACACATTTTGGGGGATTCTTTTCATCTAAACCTGAACTTTTAGCTCTTTCTATCTACCACATTCATTCATTTTGTTATTATTACCAATTTAAATGTAAAATCCACCAATAAATGCAGGACATAGTCTTCCTTTAGAGTTATTTGAAATGAACTCATTCTGCATTTATCAGAAACATCCTGTCATTCATTATATCAGGATAAAATGTTGGTAACACAATTTATCATTTTCACAAATAAAAGTAGAATCTGGTTTGGACAGGGTTGCATTGTTTATCACAGTGAACCACACAATATTGTGCATCTGCAAGTGGAGTGCTGAGGTTGAAGGAGGTTATGACACATAAAGTGAACACTCGGAATATTTCCTCACACCAAACACTGCAATTAAGCTACGAGATTTGGAATGAGAGAGGGAGAGAAAGACACAGAGAGAGAGAGAGAGAGAGAGAGAGAGAGAGAGAGAGAGAGAGAGAGAGAGAGAGAAAGAGAGAGAGAGAGTGTGTGGGGTGGGAGGGGGGCAGGGAAACCTGCTGTTTATTTTTCCTTGCGTGTCCCACAAACCAGAGCGTTGCAATGGCACAAACAGAAAACACAGACGCACATTTCTGGGATCAACATTTCACACCCGGAGAAGCGGATCAAGAACAACGAAGCCCGGTCACAGTCGCAGGAAAGCCACGACGGACTGATACAAAAAACTCTAACTATACTTCTTACCACACAAAAAAGTACTATAACACATGTCCACAACATGCTATAATTAAAAAAAAATCCCACTCGGAAAATTAAAAAATATTCCCCAAAATCCCAAATGAGAAACGCAGTGCCCGCTCTTGGAATACTCGCACGATATCACACAAGATAAAACGAGCACAAAATATCATGAACACAATAAATGTCTTATTACGTATACTTATTACGGTGAGGAATATTAACATGTCCTATTCATGTCTGCAGCGGTCTGATTGCGTCTCACCTTATCTGGAGGTTCTGTGAACCTGTAGATGTCAGTATGGTGCTGTGCTCCGCTTCTCCCTATGTGACATTTTTCAGTGTAACCTTAAGTCTGCCTGAGGTTCATGTTCTACAAATATTTTGCTAGTAATCTAGATCGGTATGAACATCCGAAAGGACATTTTACTCCATGTCCTGAACTTTGGTTTAAACACACGCACACACGTTAAATGTTGTTCATTAGCACAGATGCTTCCCTGGAGTTAACAACACGCACGAGTCCACCGACTCATAATATTCTTTGTTGTTGAATATCACTCCCTGAAGAGGGTTCTGAAGGTTAAAGCTATGATATCTCGATATCTCTCTCTCTCTCTCTCTCTCTGGTTTCCAATAAACATGAACATAACACATAACAAATAATAAACTGGCTGTGTTTTCTTAGACCTGCTGCCAGACATACAGAGAATACAAAATATGTATTCAAAAACATACTCAACCCTTGTGTGATTGACTAGGCCACACAGAGAGTTGAAGGGCAAATGTATATATTGGAAACAGATGGAGACGTCTATAAAACACGCTACTGAACACGGCAGACCTACTTATTAATTCTAAGATTAGCTGTGAACATCAACACATAAATGAGGACCAGATTTAGAAAGGTTGAATATTAATTATATGATTCATCAGATCCGGTTGCATTAAAGCCACATGCAACAGTCAGACTGGATAACCAAATGTAAGGCTTGAGATGTGAAGCATCTTGTTGGAGCGTAAATATATGAGGTCTGTGCGTAAAAGCGCAATTTAGCCTATCTGCAGAAATATTTTATCAATCCAAAATATACTTATTATATGATTATTATTATTATAAGTCAATGTGCTCTAGCATATCACCAATGTAATTATGGGATAATTTGACCATGGAAGTCCTATCTGAGCTTGACATTTCTTATCCCGTCTTCATTTTGCGCACAAGGTGGAGAGATAAAACCGGAGTTCAGATAAGAAACGCCTCATTGTTACCCTCTCTCTCGGCGTGCTGACATGTGCTGAGTGAAGATATCCCTCATCGGTAGCGCCAGTTTATCCACGTGTTAATTAAAGCCACATATGCGTTAAACGAAACATACCCGCTCCTCCTGTGTCTCATGGCCTGGTTGTCTCTGATCGTCTGGTTGCTGGAAAGGAGGTCTGGATGTTGACCGTCGATGACTTCTAGATAATTTCTGCTGCTCATCTCCACCTCTTTCGCCTTCTCCTCAAACAGGACCTGGCTGCTCAGTTTGTTAAACACGATGGTGTTCATCTTTGGCCAAATATTCCCCCCGATTAGAAAATGAAAAATAGTTTATCCTCTGATTTGTCCCAGCGTCCACGTTTCTCTCCTGTGGAATAAGTGTGGATATTTTACAAACAGGGTATTAATATGTACATCATATATGTATGCATAAAACATAAATCAACAGCTTCCCTGCAGTGTGATTATTCTTCCCCTCACTGCGTGCTGCCTGCACATGCATAGAACGAACGCGCCTGCAAACTGTCTCGAGCTGAGCGGGTCCGTGCGTAACTGCGCTGTTGTGGTGCGTCATTATAAGGTCTCTCTTTGTAAACATTCCCATCTGTAATTCCAATTCCTATCAAGGGATTTGTGTGGAGCCTAATATCTCCAGGCATCAGTTCGTTAACGGATCATGTAAAGGAGCAAACCATAAAATGTCGAATGATTATCAGTGCAAACAGCAGGTCCATCATGACTTTTATTGGTGAGTACGTTTGATTGTACTCGAGTCCAATGACAATAAAACGTGCAATAAACCCTCATCACAACCTAAATATTATTTTCCAGCTCAGTTTAAAACCTGATTTTTATATATGCGACACAATTTCACTCATTTCTATTTCGTACATCTTTACTTGAGTTTTAACTTGTTTGATGGAACATATAATTTACTGCCGTAAATGTGGGCCACAGACTCGGTGGTTTAGGTTGTAAAAACTGGATTTGAGATTTCATTTTTTTATATGTGTTTTATAATTCCAGTTCAAGCATCCTGTATATTTCTGTTCTGCCTCCTCTGCGCTGCGGTGCACTCTACAAAAAAACCCCAAATGGTTTATTTTTGTCGGTGCTGTCTCTTATTAAATGCCAAACAAATAAACCCCGCACGTTCCACAATGTGACATTTTGTTTTTCTCTTCACTTTCAATTTGGAATGGCTCTGCGGCAGGTTGAATGTGGAATTTGTCACGGGGAGCGTCGCGCAGTGAGGCAGTGCCGTCAGCACACTGTTTACCCAGGACCATGTAGTGATGAAATACACACAAACAAAAATCATGATGCTAGTGGGTCCAAAAATATATTATATTAAGGCATAAATACATGGACACAGCAGGCTACTGTCCATTCAAAGTTGTGTAAACTGGCGGATCTTTCTCCACATCCCTGACTCCGACCCTTAATAACCCGAGTACTATTTGAAAGTTGAGCCTATCGGTCCATTCCTAAAAAAAAACATCTATGACTGTGTCAGTGTATGTCAGTCGGTTACCTGTCCGCGGCCCCTCATGCGTCTCTTTGCCGTGTAGAACAATAATCCTGTTTCCAGTCGCGCATTCCCTGCTCACATGTTCCTGTCCTGAGATCCTGAGCTCAAACCACACGGACCGCCGTCTCCTCCTCTGATTTATCCGCGCCGCCCGGGACTCTGAATATCTCACCCTACTCGTGTTTCCTAGCACACGGCCCCAGCCTGCGAACATACTCGGCATGGTCTACGCCAGTTTCGGGGCCGGGGGCCGGCGGAGGGAGAGAGAGGGAGGGAGGCATCACCCTGCGAAAAAAAAGGTGGGCTGTCTAAATCACTAATTCCAAGGTGGAGTCTGATAATGTTGCTTTTTATTGAAACAAATGTATTTCAGCTGCCATGGGAAAACACCTCCTTCTCACAGAGGTAATGGCTCTATTATCAATACGGTTTGACACGTTGAAGTAGTTAGCAGGCTAATTAACGACTTGAATAAAAAGGCCATTAAACATTCACTAGTGTTTACGTGGTCAGTTACAAGCCCTTAAAGATTTATTTAAATTTGTGATTTTTTTTAACGAAAGTTCCAATTGAGTCCTGTGCATCTTTGTTGACTTTTTTTGTGTCACTTTGTAATCATGCAGAACCTGCCTTAGCTGATGCCGCTGATGCTGATGATTTATTGTGGAAAATTAGAACAATTTTACATGCATTGAAATTAGCTTTTGGGGCCGTTTGGGGTCCCACTTGGTAATCCAGCCTCACCGCCCAGCTATTTAATCTGGTCTATTTGACCAAAAAGTGAAACATCAGACACCATTCAAGTCTTCTTGCCACATTTGCAGGATTTGTGACTTTGCCTACAGAGGAAATAAAGGTCCTTTGTTGAAGCAACATTTTTTTCAGTTGCTGCAGTGCGCATGGACTATGCGATACCCACCGTCTGCTGCAGGCACACTTTACACCTGTTTTTCAGTTTTAGTTAAAAAATGTATCATCTTCCTTCCACCGCAACATCACAACACCTAAATGTGACCATCAAAGATGGTGTCTTGCTGCATTTGTTTTTTAAACACCTTCGAAGTGACACTTAGTACAGCTGCCCATCTTTTTTATTGCACGACATCTGCTTCTTTGGTCTGCCTGCAGCCGAAATCCATATCCATGCTTTTGCTGCAAGGATAATTATTCTATCGGATTCAAACCAAATGCAATCCAAGCTGTTTTTAGTAACATTCGGAATGAAGAGAAAAAAAGAAGATTCTTACTGTATATAGCCATGCCACTGGTTACTCCCGATGCACCCTCTCATTGACTTCCATTATAAGAGCTGTCACATTTTGGGCTCATGAGTCACAGCTTCTGAGGTCCTCTGCTCTGTTTTCCCTTGGGGTTTATCCAAGGTAGTGATTCGAAATACGTGACTTAGCAGCAGGAGCCATATGAAGGGCTATGATCCGTGTAATCATTGTTTATTTGTGCTTATTTTCATTTAACGGGGAATGTTCACTTTCACTAACAGCTTGTGCAAACATGCTATGAATTACCCAGTCATGCAATCACTTTAATTAAGGTCAGGGAGGGTTTATTTGCTTAGTTTATACACAATAAGTATGTTTTCCGTCGGGCCCGAAGTGAACCTCTCTTACCTCCTGTGACCTTGTCCCTGTGATCTAAACCTTTGGGTGAGAAAGAGCATCTCTGGGGATAAAACAATATGGACTTGTCAATGGCATCTCGTTTGTGCTACTAGACCTTCTCCACAGCCTCCGCTTTGGCTCACTGTACGTTTCAGACTCCTGGTTGTTGACCATTGCGGAGGTACAGAACGGATGCAACAGGTAGGTGCAGGACATCATAAATCATGATGTGCTGCTTCCTAAGGGTCAGAGGCAGGAGCTCTGCAGGAGTTCCACCATGCGGCACTCTGTTTCATCTCAAGCTGGAGTTTCACAGATTCCCCCGGGGTCTGCTTTCTTTGTCCTCTGAACTTTGTTGCTCTGCTGGACAGTTTGGTTTGACTAATAATGGCTTTTGAAGCCTACCACCAAACACCAATATTTTTAGTCTGGAGTTTCAGACAACTGAGACAGTGTGCAGGTGTTGCCGATTTTTGTGCTGAAGCAATACAAGAGCTTAAAATAATTCTGTCTTGTGATGGTTGAAAAATAGATTTTTAGAACTTGAGCAACTGCATCAGAGACCTCTGGAATATGTCACCAATTTAAAAGCACAAAATGGTGGGACTGTCATTATAGAATAAGCAGACTGATTTATGGTTGAAAGACCATCACACAAATTGTAATGGTGAATGGTAAATGGACTGTACTGACCACTCAAAGCACTTTAACACTACATGACATCATTGACCCATTCACACCCTGATGACAGGAGAACCATACACAGTGACACCTGCACATCAGTAACTAACATTCACACACTGTAGTCGCAGCTACAGGAGCAATGTTGGGTTAAGTGTCTTGCCCAAGGACACATCGACATGCGGGTTAACCCTCTGATTGGAGGACGACCGTGCTCCCCACTCACCCACAGTCGCCCACGATTGAACACATCAGAATCAGTTTACTCGATAAAGAACCTACAATTTAGTATTATGCTCTGGAAGAGATGGGCCGAGTCTGAGAGAGTAACCATGATGATGTAATAGGGATGTCATCAGAGTTATCTCAGGCTGTTCTTGGGAAGACTGAAAACTGAGAATGTGTCGTTTGAAAACATACAGTTTAGCAGGCAAAGGGAGAGGGAAGAGCTCAGTGTTTCAACCGTGGGACCCACACAGGAGGAATGAAAGGCGGTACACAGAGTTCACACGCTTTATTAAATATGTGGTTCTAAAAGCCTGCTGATGAACTACTCTTAGTAAACAGCTAACATGCCAGTAAAGTTTGATCTCTCCGGCACTCGTCACTCACAACAGCTTTCTAAACTGACCAGGTCAAAAACTGATCATTGTTAAGTCTTTCTTTTTAATCTGTCACTGCTATTTCCCAATCTTTGTAATATTATCCTTTTAATAAAAGCCCTATTCCCAAAATCCATATAGTGATTTATATTGACATGTGATGCTCTGTATGTCAGCATCTGGAGCTTTGTTTTCATACATGCCAGGAAGAAAAACCTCAGTTTATTATGAGTCTACCACCTCCTCCATCAAGACGGTTTTATTTATATGCCCTATGTCAGTGTATTTTTTGTAATGTAACTCTATTCTTGCATCTCTGTATATGTTTTATAAAGCCTACATGCCATTCCGTATTGTAATGTTTTATACTGCATCTTCCGGGGTTCATTTCCATGAAGATGTGGTCTAGCCGGCCAAAGGGGCGGTTGTAGTTAAAGTTTTATTTTCTTGCACTCATAACATTTGTTTTGTTCGTGAATTTCCAATTCAACTCTGATCCCTTTTATAGAAAACACACCACTAACTGAGCAAATCAAATGTCTCTGCTGTTGAATAATAAGATATTGTAGTAAGAAGGCAGCAGATCAACTGCCTCCAATGGAACACTTGTGTCTCTTTTTTGAGAACTGTGAATATCAAATTCAGGAATCAGGAATCAGGAATCAGGAAACATTTATTGCCATAATATGTCAGACATACAAGGAATTTGACTTGGTGGTTGGTGCATAACAGCAGACAGTACATGCAAGATAACATGCATTGCAAGTGCAAGAGGAATAAAATAAAATATAATACTATGGGTTAGTAATATAAGGCTATGGGTTAGTTTAAAAATAAAGGAAAAAATAAAAAATAAAAGTAAAAAATATTTAATAAATAAATAAATAAAGTGCACCAGCGACCAGAAAGTGACCCGTGGGGACCCGGGCTCTGTTGATGAGCGCGACTGCCGACGGGAAGAAACTGTTTGAAATTGAAAATCAGACATGCACTACACATCATGGTCCAGCAGGCAACGCTTTGTTTTTGCCATAGCGTACTTCATCATTCAATGTGTATTAAAGGATCTGGCTATGAAAAGTAGCAATTATGTGAATTCAGCGTGAGCTCAATGTCAACACCTTAGGCCATTACAATCTAAATTATTTTCTAAAACCCCAGTCTGCCTCCATAATCTGCCCCTCATTTAAGATGATGTTTTCACTCCAGACTTGGACTTAATTTCGGCGTGTAAACCAAGTTGGAATTACATAGCGTAGTGCACGGACTACTTGTAAAGCCACAGACATATTTGTCCAATAGTTTGCCAGCTTTGGTGGAAAATGTGACTAAGGAGAAAACGTGCAGGGTGTTTAGAATGACCCAATTACTTTTTTTTTTAAGAGTGTCTTAAACATTTGGGGCACTAATCAGCCAGTTGAAGCCTGTGTTGTCTGTCCATGCCTACAGAAAGTAATCAAGAGTCAAACTAAATGCCATTAGAAGTCATTGCAATTGCTCCATGAAATTACAGTGGGGAATAATTGCAACTTAGAACATTACTCTTCTAACCCTCATATCCTCTGTTGTCCCCCTAAATATGGCTTTCCAAGAATACACAAATGGCTACTACATAGGAACATACTTCTTTAGAAGGAGGACGTACCAGTTCAGAATCCAGCTGACATGAAGGTGATGGATACAGCTGTCAGAAAACATGCCTTTGTTAACCGAACCCTCTGACCTAGTTGTATTAGGTCAGACAAAGTGGGCTTTTTGTGCGCCAATGCTTTGCCAGAAGTACTCACTCATGTTAGAATAACAGAGAGCCTTATTTGATTCTTTGTAATATCTAGGTGAAAACATTAGTGAAAAGTTTCAGTTATTTTGAATGTGTCATCGCCTCTGCGATTTTGCTCGCAGTATCATTGACTGTTGAGTGTCCAGGTATTTTCTTTTTTTGCGAGTAGACAGTTGCAAAGCTCTGAAGCATTGGGCAAACTGACAGAAAGCAGGGAGCTAGACTGGAACGGGGTGTTATTTAATCATCGCGTGGTGGGAAAGGACATTTATTAATGTCAGAGTTAAAGCAGGACTTTGGAAACTTTGGAGTTAAGGATGGGAATACCACAAAGAAAAAGGTACAATAAACCACCAAAGCAGAAAATTGCATTTTGAACATTTGCCCAAAGGACCACTTTTAAAAATATAACTCTTAATTTGGTGAAGAAACTCAACCCA